ACAAGTACAGAGCGCCTGCGTCTGTGCGAAAACTATAGATGCTTGTCGCTATGCTGCAACACTCGATGACTTAGTGGAGTGTCTGTGCAAAAATTCTCGCCTCTGATGTTGCGAGAGAACAAATATTCCGTTCTGACTCACGTTCTTCCATACTGTTTACCGATTTAATGTGCACCATTCGCACATGCTAACTAACAGGTGAGTTATAGTATCCCTCCTCAGTTGGATCCTACCTAAGGCTACATGTCAGTCCGGGGTGCTCGGTCTCACATTTGACCTGTTCGGCATAGCCCCATCGTGGTCTCGCTTGCTAGCCCGGTTGGGCTAAGGTACACACGACCGCATACACTACAGCTCCATGTAGCCCACTGGCAGCTGACGCTTGCGTGTCGCACGTTTAAATTCTCGATGCACCAGCTGTCTTTCTTGCGCCTGGGCAATGGTACGCGGAATGAGATCACGCCAGGTCCGGCGATTCGTTGCCACCACTTCTCAACCCCTCAGGTCAATACTTACTCGACACACTAATCGTTATATTGTCTTGGTAGCGCAACTTTGGTTTGCCTGCATTCCGGCCGGCCGCACTCAGTTGCCCATACAGCAGTTGCTGCGGGTTTATCGTCGCATCCATATGGCGCACATGTCCAAGACACCTGAGGTGTCGCAGCAGTAGCAGGCAGTCCGTTGTGTACACGTCGCTCCGGCGGAGCACATCAGTGTCAGGCACACTGTCCCACCAGTGGATGTGCAGAGTTCGGCGCAGGCACTGTTGATGGAATCGTTCCAGAAACCGGTTATCCTTTCTGTACAGTGTCCACGTTTCTGCTCCATAGATAATGACCGAGAGAAGCATGGACTTGTACACTATCACCTTGGTTCTAACAGCGAGATGATGATTTTTCTACACCCGATTTTCCAGTTTCCCACAAACCGCACTGGTCTTTGCGACACTAGCGTGCAGTTCGACGGTGATTCGAAAGTCGGTTGACAACCTGCTCTCGAGGTAGCAGAATGCCGGCGTGTTCTGTAGAACCTCATCAGTAATCCGTATTTCCGGCCTAAACATTAGCTCCACTCCCGGTGCCGGCTGAAACAAGCATACACTCCTGCCTGTGTTTATCCTGAATCCGAACTTGATCGCCGTGGAAGCTAATGTAGTCGTCATGTATCGCAGTTCTTCCTCAGTATGTGCAAACAATACACAGTCGTCGACAAATAGCAGTATCCGGATGGTTTTCTCACGTCATCATCATCAGTACACGTTAGCTGAGGGCGAGAAACACACCTCAACTAATGTGCTACAATACAAAAAGATAGACTAAAAATTACATTACATATTACATATATTATGCGTTTTGCATGAGATCGGGATTGGAGGACGAACCTAAAGTGATGGACAAAAAACTTCACAACACAAACGCCATTGGGGCCAGCTCTTCGCCATATCAGCAAGTGTCCAACCAAACGTGTTTTTCATCCTTAAGACCCCAGCGAGGCAGTCTGGATGCACCAACCGACACCAGTTTCGAAGTGAGGGTTTTCATCCCTCTCGACCAGGTCATCGCTTTGCCTCCCCTCCTCTTCTTCCAACCGCACCCCCGGCGCGCAGACAATGCATGTCGTGGGAGTCGGTGTGCTGGTATGCGCAATACGTGGCCAAGCCATCGGAGGCTGGTGTGTGATATAATGGTGCTGAGCGGTTCACTAGCTCATACTGCACCAAATATGCGACGCCGAACACGCTCATTGCTCACGCGATGCCCCCACGAGACATGAGCTAAGCTGCGATGGCAGCGATGCTCGAATATGACGAGCCTCTTTATGTCTGTCGACTTGATGAGCCAGGTTTCACAACTATATAGGAGGATTGAACGGACTGCTGCGTTATAAACTGCCCTTCAGAGCGAATGTCGCGTGTGCGCCACGGATGGCGGAGATTGGCAAAAGCA